TCCATAACTGTTCCCAGTCAGCCATCATTATATTATGTCCAACATCTTGTGCCCATTTAATCATAGCAGATTTCACCGTTTCATCCTGAGTATTCCATTTCAACAGCAAGTTATACATCTTTGACAACCCATATTAACCCATATGAAATACCAGATGACTCTCGGGCTACTGGAAGTAGATCACAGTCTCTTGGGAGTTCACTGTGCCTGATATAAAGCACACTTCATCACATCTGCATGACACATATTAAAAGGATTATAGCGTTTGATTTTATTTATGTTTGATAGTATCACATTCCAAGGGTACTTACAAATGGTGTTGCACCCATTGTTGCTTATTTGTTTTTAAAAACTGAGCATATAAAAACAGAGAATACTGCTGATGTCTTTGACGAAAGCAAAAACTCCTTAGAGAAAGAGAGTTGAACCTGACCAGGCAACCTAGAAAAAATTAAGGAGAAAGAGACAGCAAGAGAAGGATGGAGGTATGGGCACTTTTGATTGCTCTGCTGGTGGCTCTTCTGATTCTGCACTACCTGAAACAGCTCTGGTCACGCAGGCATTATCCTCCAGGACTTCTCCAGCTTCCTCTCATTGGAGCCATATGGAGGTTTGGATTCAAGATTGATGAAAATACTCTCATTCAGGTACTTATTGCTTCGTAATAACTCAGTCTGATGCCAGCAATTGTTTTATCTATTTCCCCCAACAATTGTGATATTTCAGCTTCAACGATAGCATGGGTTAAAATGGTAAATGCCATAAGCCTCCGTTGTCAGAAGCTGTAAGCAATACAAATAATAGTAATAATGTAAATAGTATTATTATTAATATTGCAAAGCACAAAACCATCATAAAAGTTGAAAATACGCATTAAGAACTACAGATCAAAAATATTTATTGTATACTGTTAAACTGAGGAAGGAGGAGAGAACACCCTCAAAGGAAGAATGCTTTATGAAAATCTTGGAATATGCAGAGATGGCAAAAATTGATAAAAGATACAAATTTAGAATCTTTTAAAGAAGATTAGAAAACTTCTCCGGTCTATATAAAAAGTTATTTCCCATATGCAAAGACCACAGTGGGGTTTAAACTGTAAGAAAACAGCAGAATATATTAAGAAACATGTTAGAGAGGATCAAATTAGATAAGATGGAACTTTAAAATGCAATAGTATGTAATTCGAGTTATAAATATTGATATTGGGTGAGTGGGAAATCACTCGTTTTGTTGAATTGGAATATAGTGGTACCTTGGGTTAAGTACTTAATTTGTTCTGGAGGTCCGTTCTTTTTTTTTTTTTAATAATGTTTATTAAATTTCCAGTTAACAAACCAATCATATCACATTAATTCCAAATTATACCAATACATAATAAACTCCAAATATTTAGCCGAATTTTAAATCTTTTGGTGGGGTGCCCATGCTTTGAGTTCAGAAAGGGTCCAATCATCTCATATTTCTGCTGCTTTGATGTACACAAGTCCCATCTTTCCATCTCTTTGTTGTTATCCTTTACAAATCCCGTCTTCCAATCTTCTTGCTGTTATCATTTTTCTTCTTAATAACCTCTGAGTTATCTCCACAAGCGAGTTGAAGCAAACATTATTATAGTCCTGTGTGGATTTTCACGCTGATCCAAAAGTCCTATTCAAACGGCAGGCGCCATTTCAGCAGTTCCCATAAAATACAGTCTAAGCGTCTGCTCATTAACTTTCCCAGACCAGTTGCTCCATAAATCAGCCTTTCTAGGGGAGTACTTGCCAAATCAAACGTAGAATTCAGATATGATAACAGAACACTGGCTCCCTTCCCCTTTGACTGTAAATCTTGCAACAAAGTATGTCTCATAATGGCGGTTCCCAATTAGAACTGCGTCATCCAAAAGCCTTTTGTTACCTTTCCAGATCTTCCGCAAAACAGAGCCTTTAGTTGATAATTTTATTTCCACACAGTTTATTTTCCCATCTCACTTGCTATCAGTCATGTGGCGGTTCTTCTTGGGGAGGGGTTGTTAGGTAAATCATATTGAAAAAGAGAAAAGTTCCCCCCCCTTTCCAATCCGTTTCAACATACCGACATAGTTGTGATTCTTTGATGTAGTCTTCTGTTCAGTCCAACCCGTCACTCAGCTTCTCAGTGTTCGATTTAATTAGCAATCAGTACACCCTTTCCTTCGCTCGAAACATGTGCACTTACTGTTCTCCAATTATTTATCTTGAGCAATGCAACTAGGATCACAATCAGAAGTAGTGTCCAGGAGATCCAAAAACTCACCCGAGGGCTTTCCGTCCAGTGCCCCCACCCCCTCCTTCCTTCGAACTCGGGGGTGATTTATTGGCAACTGCGGACGAGGCAGCATTTTCCCATCCCCTGGGAAAACTCGGGAGGCTAATTTACTCCCATCATTAGCCTCTTAACCTGCCCGTTCTTACCCTGAAACTGTTCTTAACCTGAAGCACCACTTTAGCTAATGGGGCCTCCTGCTGCTGCCGCGCTGCCAGAGCATGATTTCTGTTCTCATCCTGAAGCAAAGTTCTTAACCCGAGGTACTATTTCTAGGTTAGCAGAGTCTGTAACCTGAAGCGTATGTAACCTGAAGCGTATGTAACCCGAAGTACCACTGTATAATTGTTGAGTAACAAATGTAACTTTCTATATGGAAAATTTCTATATTCCAACTGTTTTGTTAATTGGATTATTATTATTATTAACCACCCAATAATACGCCCCCACAGAAAAAAATCAGATTTTAAAAGGGCTTAGGATGTCAATGAAATCAACCAAAGGCCTAGTTAAAAAGGAAGGTTTTGCCAGGTGAACTTCCCTGGTGAGAGCATTCCACAGATGGGGAGTCACTGCAGAGCAGGTCCATTCTTGTGTTGCCACCCTCTGGACCTCTTATGGAGGAGGAAGACAAGGAAGGGCCTCAGAAGATGATTTCAGGGTCTGGGTAAGATCATATCAAAAGAGGTGGTCCTTGAAGTATTGTGGTTCTGAGCCATTTAAGGCTTTCTAGGTCAAAACCAGCACTTTGAATTGGGTCCAGAAACTAATTGGTAGCTGGTGCAGCCGGACCAGGAGCGATGTAATCTGCTCTTGTTCCGGTGAGCAACCTGGCCGCTGAATTCTGCACTAGGTGAAGTTTCCGAACTGTCTTCAGAGGCAGCCCTATGTATAACACATTGCAAGTAATCTTACCTTGAGGTTACCAAGGTTAAGAAATGTAACTTTCTATATGAAAAAAGAATAAAATATTATTACAGAAAAAAGACAGACCACAGCATTCATTCACAGCAGCCTCTCAACAGGCACTAACTTCCATGCCCTATTCAATCTTTTTCACTCAAACCAGAACACTTATAAAAAACAAATTATAAACTAAAATACCAAAATCTTCTTAAAGGATCTCTGCAGTAAACTAGGGTTCCCATTTTTTAGGAAATTGTTGAGCTTTTTCCATTGGGTTGCCACACATCTCAGTGTTCCTGACATTTTGCCGATTCCTGTCAGGACACGTCAGGAATTTTCCTGATGTATGGCAAGCCTACAGTAAGTGCTAATCTCCAGTTAATACTCCCACCAATAATACAAGGCCAGGGCTGTGAAATCAGTTTCAGAGAGTCATTTAGAAAGCCATGAAACTAATTTCACTTGGAAATGAAGTCTTGCTACCACTTACAAGTTGACCCATAGAAAATACAACGTTTTATGTTGCCTTGTGTTTTCCCCTGATTTCACATAGCTACCCATGCTGCCATTATCCTACTTTGTATGGTTTTGTGATTTTCAGTATTAATCAGAATCTTGCTCCTTTATACTAGTTTTAATGTGTGTCGTTCATAGCTGCTTGTTGAAGGGCACTTATCTCCAAAACACATTGTGTAACACAATAAGCTGAATTCATAAAACAGCTTATTACAGTATGTTCTTGATCTTGTCTTCCTTTTGTTCTATTGCATGTTGCAACATGGCCTAGAACAGGTATGTCCAACTTTCAAGAGACTGAGATCTACTCCCACTATAAAAAAACTGGCAGGGATCTACCAAATTTGTTGAGCTTTTTTAGGGAGCCAGAGTTCTTGAGCTTTCGGGGGGGGGGGTTCGGGGGGCCCCCAAGATCTACCACAGACACAGCACGATCTTCTAGTAGATCACGATCTACCTGTTGGACATCCCTGGCCTAGAATGCTGTGTACTTCTCCCCTTCCAACAGACGGAAGGGCAACAAGTTCAACTGGCAATGAAGCAGGAGCACACCAGCCTTTCTCAGCAGCAGCTCACGTGTAACTAGAGAAGACAAGAGACAAACAGAACAGGCACCTTTCCATTGCCTCCTCCGCAAGCATTTACTCTTTGTCAGACCATAGTTTAGTTTATTTGTTTGTTTCTTAAATACAATTATGAGCCTTTTTTCAGCAAAAACTCTTCAAAAAATACAAAATTACTCAACCATCGGATATGAACATATTAACTTTCAAAACACTGGAATTGGTAATAATCTCTAGGCCAGACATGTATCATCTTAATTCCTTGCCATATATTTGCATGGTGGTGATGCTCTTGCTGTAACCCACCGTGGGTCTGAAAGCTGACCCAGGACTCTAGCCCAGCCTGTGCCAACCTGGTACCCTCCAGATGTTTTGGACTACAATGCCCATCTGCCCCAACCACCATGGCCAATAGTCAGGGATGGTGGGAGTTCTAGTTCAAAAGCATCTGGTGGGCTACAGGTTCCACATCCCTGCACACACAAAGATTGTGGCAACATCATTTTCTGGCAATGACTTGTGCATCTTCTTGTCTGCCGCAGGAGGGCTGGTTACTATGAAGTGTCTCTGCTGCTCTGATCCTAGGCAGAGGCAACATGGCTAGGAGGGCGTAAAACAAATGGGTTGGAATTCTGGGAGGGAAGGAGGGAGGGAGGAAGGGAGGGAGGGAGGGAGGGAGGAAGGAAGGGAGGGAGGGAGTAGGAGGAGGAGGAGGGGGGGGGAAGGATGATAGCAAGAGAACTGCACATAGTGAGAAACTGCAGAGGTGAGGGAGGATGACGTTCTCGTATTAACTTGAAATATCCAACTGTATTTTTTGAATCCATCATTCCTCTCCTCTCTTTTGACCCAAATGGTAGCTGGGAAAGCAACATGGAAATATTTACACCATATGGTTAGGACATCTACCCATTGTAGTACTGTCTGGATTCCAAGCAGTGAAAGAAGCGCTCATTGACCACTCTGAAGAATTAGACGAGCGACCTGAGACTCCTTTACTTAGGACTCTGATAAAAGGAAAGGGTAAGTAGTGAAGAATAAGAATTCCTACTGGTATTTTCTGAAGATGAAACATTTAAAGGGCTGTCCAGAAAAACAGAACAAAGGTTCTCTATTACTGCTGCACACAACGGAAAATGCATTACCTAGGAGCCAACACCTAGGGGCTGAGGTCATTCGGAGTGGCTAGTCCTCATGCTATCAAATGACACATTCGTTTGGGTGCATGTAAACCTGGCTTCAGCACATGTGAAGATTTGATTGATTATGACATCTCTAAGAAACTCAATACACTGCTTCTCTCAACAAGCTCTTCCAACATGTTTTGGGCATGGACTCATGTGGCAAATATAACATGTGAACTTTGCAATCACATAGTTACTATCATCACTATTAATTATGAATTGCATTTTGCATGTATGTCTCAAGGCAACTTACAGAGATATAAAAACAGTTTAAACTATGAATAATCATAGTTTAGAGGTCTCGGGCCCTAAGTAAGTCAGATTATCCTCCACCAGGGCCACAATGTGAGTTACTGTGGGGCTGGCCTGCCCAATAATTCCTATCACTAACTCCACAGTTTATTACTGGTGCTAAGTGCTCCTCCAGAAAACGTTTTTTAATTGCACATTCATAATGATTTGTGCTCATAATACTTTCAAGGTGGTTGTATCCAACTTCATTGTCAATACTATTTATGCCTGCAAAGATTTTGAGGTGATCATACAGTTTCATTTCCATTCTGTCACATCCTTTAACTTTCTGCTGAAAACTACAAATGCACAAACTTATTTTTATCCCACTTTCGTTGCAATATAGTTTCCCCAGACAGAAATAATGCAGTAGTGTTCAGGCAGCGTTGCAGAAGAATTAACAAAGCAGAATATATCCACCATTGATGCATTACGTCTTGTTAAAAATATGGTGCAGAATTCACCCTCAGCAAAAAACCCCAAACCTGTCTAGCTGGACCAGTAGAAGTAGTAACTGGTTGACACTACACATTAAATCCTTAAAAACAGTGTCGAAAAATTGGCTGAATTGGGTTTGTTTCGTTTTCCATACTTTTATTGAAACTTTTCAGCAACGCTCACTAAACAAACAAACAAAAAAAGTAAAAGATAGAGAGAAATGCCAAGCCCTCTCTCAAACGTAGGTCTTAAATCTTGTCTCACACAGAAGGGAGTGGACCCTCCCAGCTCTCACCTGGGTGCTTCCCTTTCTTTCCCCAGTCTCCCACCCTGGGAGATCTTTCCTTCTCTGCCTCTCACACAGGGTCTTTCACCAGCCGGCTATCACCTTCAAGTGTGTACCCAATAGTCCTCCTCCATTCCAGTATGGTGACTTTATTTCCCAAAAAATTCCAACCATTCCTCCATGTTTTTTTTTTATAAAAAACAAATTCTTCATTTCTATTTAAACAGGAATCTCTGCACTGTAGTCATATACAGTGGTACCTCAGGTTAAGTATTTAATTCGTTCCAGAGGTCCGTACTTAACCTGAAACTGTTCTTAACCTGAAGCACCACTTTAGCTAATGGGGCCTCCTGCTGCTGCCGTGCCGCCAGAGCCCGATTTCTGTTCTCATCCTGAAGCAAAGTTCTTAACCTGAAGCACTATTTTTGGGTTAGCGGAGTCTGTAACTTGAAGCGTATGTAACCGGAAGTGTATGTAACCTGACTTACCACTGTACAATATTAAAAAATAACCCATAGTTATTTACTTGTTGTATATTCATTATTTTACACCCAGTTTTATATCTTGTGATCCCATTTCCTGTAGGCAGTGATTTTCCATCCTAATTTAGGAAGAGAGAAAGAAAAAAGCTCCTTCCATTTCCACCACTTCCATTCTTTTCCCAATAGCATCACCAGAAGCTTGATAGATAGAAGTGAAATTTGATCGTGATGGCCTTCCATGGAAAGATCTAAACTTGTCGACATCACAATGTATCAGATACCAGTTTTCTCTTCAAAAATCAAAATGGCAGAGCTGTCGAGAAATCTCATTTTTTGCTGATACAGTAAAGTGAGCATGCCTGTGACGTCATTCTGAGCGTCTGCGCATGTGCGAGCAGCAAAACCCTGAAGTAACCTGTTCCGTTACTTCCGGGTCACCGTGGGAGGCAACCTGAAAAGATTTAAGATTTAACCCGAAGCGACTTTAACCCGAGGTATGATTGTTGTTATTTCTCACTGATTTTCCATAGGTATTGCATTATCAAATGGTCACACCTGGAGGCAACAGAGACGCTTTGTTGTAGTCACTCTGTGGAAGCTGTGGCGGGAAAAGAAAGGCATGGAGCACCAAGTAGCAGAGGAGGCCCATCAGCTCGTGGAGGCTTTTGCACGTTCAAAGGGTATGTGATGCTAAGTGATGGTGCTGAGCTGGCATATGGAGATATATTTGTGTCCTACCTCTGTCCATTTTAGAAAGGAATGTGATATGCTTTTCTTGGTTCCTAATGGAGATTCCAGCAGTTTCTCTTGGCCACCATGAATCCCCACTCTCAGTATGAACTGGACCAGCTGAGCTAACATTAGTATAACTTTATTTTGCAGGACAGCCACTTGACCCCTCCATGCCCATCACTACTTCAGTCGCCAACGTGCTATATGCTGTGACTTTTGGGAACCGGTTTGCTCTTGAAGATGAACGGTTCCAGAAGCTGATAGAAGCCATAGAATTTTCCCTACAATTTGTATGTAGCTTTGGTTATGCTGTGAGTAGTCATTTCCATTCCTGCCAAACAGGTCTCCCAAGGGCTTTAATACCACAAATCAATATTCTGATAGAGGGTTGTAGAAGTGAGATCAGGTTTAAATTGATCTGAGATAAGGGCTACTTACTATCTCACAGCCTGATCAATTGCTCATGATTATCATTGAGATCAAAAACACACCAAAACCCCCCATAAAAAACAACAAAAGAAGACTTTGTCCACCACAGGAGACTCTTTGGAGGGAAGATGGGACAAAAATGGAACAATGACCTTCAGAATAGGTCATCTAGAGCCCACCAAGGGGAAGAGAGGTGAACAAAATAATCTTCTCAAGAAGGGAATTACATCGTTTTGTTGCCATCATGGAAAACTAAATGTGTCTACTCTATACCCACCTAGCAGTGGCAATCATGGTGAGGCCCCTGCAGCCACCACTTGGCTGGAATTTTTCTTTAATGAAAGAGAGACCAGCAACTCAAACACTATCACTATTGCTGAGGAAAGCAGCCCCCTTCTGTATGATCAACTAAACCCTTTCCTCAAATTTAAGTTCAGTTCTCCACATTTCTACATCCATTCCTAATCTGTAAAAAAAAAAAGTACTCATGAAACATACTTGAATTCCCCCCATCCCTATTCTCCACCCACCTCCAACTACCACAAACGGGCACTAACTTGTTCCAGGAGAGGTCCTGAGATCGTGCCCAGTTTTGAAATTATGCCGGGGAGCTGGAAAAATATTTTGAGCCATACTTTTCTTTCACATTTTCAGCTAGCGATAATTCACAGAATCCAATCATTGTGGGATTCCAGAGAAGCTATAAACACGTTCCTTCTTCTTAGTGAGACTCAAACTAATATGCTAGCCCTGAAGAATAATGCAGATCATGTTTGTAAGTGCAATTCGAAAGCACAAATGGTTTGAACAAGCTTCCTCATGGTAATGGCAGCATTTCTGCTATCTTTCCTTTAGCTTTATGAAATGCTCCCGTGGCTCATGAAACATCTCCCAGGGCCCCACAAGAAGTCTTTCTCCTGCATAGAGATGGTGCGTTCATTTGCAAAGCAGGAGATAGAGAAGCATAAGGAGAATCAGTCTCTGTATGAGCCACAGGATCTCATTGATTTCTATCTATTTCAGATGGAGAAAGTAAGTATCTGCTTGAAACCGAATGCTGCTCATCCAAGGAATCATTATATTCCATGTTATGAGTGAACAGAGAGAGGAGCTGAGGGAAGTCTGGGGGGGCGGGGGTGGTAGGGCTGGTTTTCTTTTCGAGGAGGGGAAAATAGGGGGGGAATGAGGATGATACGTTTTTGATTAATTGGTATGTTGAAATCTTTAATAAAAAATAAAAAAATAAATATAAGTGAATACTAATCTCTTGCCAGGACACCAATATCTCTCTCTGCCCCCCCCATTCCCCCATAGTCATTTTAATTGCTAAAGTGAGTTGACATCCTTCCATAGGCATCTACTAAAATAGCTAGGAAAGGAGAGATATTTTCATGTACAAATGTGAATGCAAATGAGTATCTGCTTCAAAACTGTAGGCAGCGCATTCAAGGAATCATTATATTCCCTGTTATATGTGAATACTAATCCCTTGCCTGGAAACCAGTACAGTGGTACCTTGGTTCTCAAACTTAATCCGTTCCAGAAGTCTGTTCCAAAATCAAAGTGTTCCCAAACTGAGGCATGCTTTCCCATAGAAAGTAATGGAAAACGAATCCATTCCAGACTTTTATAAACAAACCCTAAAACAGCAATTTAACGTGATTTTTTCTATCTAATGAGGCCATTGATCCATAAAATGAAAGCTTTAATCACTGTACTGTACTATAAAATAAATAAAACAGTATTGTGGATGATAACAATTAAAATTAAAATTCTTTCTTACCTGCGCTGATGATAGTCATTGTTTGGATGGTGGGTTTTTATCCATTTCCGTAGTCGCTCAATCAATCAATCAATCAATCAATCATAAAATGAAGAACAAGCTACAGTCACAAAAATGAAAAGGCCACACAAACAAAATCGCAAAAAATAGCAAAAACAAAAGTACCAAATATAAGCTCCAAATATCACCTCATGACACTTCAATCGGAAATGGAAGGCTTTGATTACAATGGGGAGGGGGCAGAAATTAGCAGCGCAACAGTGAAAATGGAAGCTCAGGAGCACATTCAGATTCCGAAGCAAAGTTCTTAAATCGAAACATTGACTTCCAGGTTTGCAGCATTCAAGTTCCAAGTTGTTCGGGAACTAAGCTGTTCAAAAACCAAGGTACCAGTGTATCTTTTTTTCTGAATCTCAGTTGAAAATGGCATTGAGTTCCCTCCAAATATTTCTCATAGTCAATTTAGTTGCTCAAGTGGGTTGACATCCATCCATAAGCAAATATAGAAATGTCTAGGAAATGTGAGTGGAAAGGAGTGGAAACTTAAGTGTATTATGGGGTCTTCCTTTGGAGCATTTTTTGGATTGATGTTTATCTGACATTCAAATGTGGACTGAGAAAACAGAAAATCCAAAACAAAATATTCTTAAACTAAACTGAGGATGCCTCCATGAAGTTTTAAATTTATTTTTCTGTCAAACGAGTGTGTTGGTAATAGTAGCCTGTTGGTTTTTGGTGAGTTTACCAGAAGTCTGGTAGGGACTTCTGACAGGAGCTTTACAAGATTGTTTTTGATAGCGAAGCCTACCTCATATATTTGACATTCTTGTTCAGATAGACCTTTCCAGAAGAATGTGTAGCCTCCTTTTTCTTCCTTCAGTTGTCCCTTGCCTGCTCTTTGAGTCTCTTGAAGCACTGCAATATTGATGTTAAAACATCACATCTCTCTTGCAATGATGGCAGTTCTGCGTTCAGGATGCTCATTATCTGTGTTATATCTGTCCATATATTCCATGTTCCAAAGTTCAATTGTCTTTTACCACCGCTGGGTGGTGACCCCACTGGGCGTGGTAATCCAGTCAGGGAAAAAGAGAGGCAGACTATGTTTAGGGCACCCTTTCTAGCCTCTCCCCCATTTTGGAGGGAGCAGAGTAGATCCTAAAAAGGGCTGCTCAGTCATGGATACAGCTGCCGAGCTGCTCAACTGCCTTGTTCCTTGAGTCAGAATGACTGAATCTGTATCCACCGCCCATGTGCTGTTTCATGACTAAGGGCTTCCAGATTTCACAATCCTGCCCCTGTTACCATATGCTGATCACCATGGAACTTTGGGTGTTTGGGTTTGGGATGGGTTTTTTGGAAGACGCCTGTACATGAATTTGTTTTATGTCTATAGATCAGTGCACACTAACCAATGAACAGTCTTCACAGTAAGGCTCTGTTCTGATGGCATGAGTTGTCATGGCAACCGGTAAATTCTTATCTGCTGCAGCTTTCATCCACCTTTACAGACGTTGTAACATACCACTTGTTATCACCCACCTGTTCTGCCGTTGATGACTTCTTGGGTCATTCTTTGTCTAGCTCCTCCCCTTTGACCTTACCGCCTTGGGTGACCCTGCTGGGAGTACGAGATTCCCAATGGCTTCACTCACAAGGGTCATAGGAATGTGCAAGCCCACTCACCACGAAAGGGTGATGATCCAGCGAGTGAGGGCAGCAACATTAAGGGGGGGCGGCGGCAGCAGCTTCCCATTTCACCTTAGGCACTATAAGAGGACACCCCACCTCTCATGAAGCACGTGTGGCCACCCTGGTATGGTAATAAGTGGGGGAAGGAAGATAAAGTGCTGAAGGACAGAATGTAATGCATGTAAATGACATGTCACTTTCCCCATTTTCAACACCAGAGCAGGAATGACCCAGAGTCCACCTATGATGAAGAAAACTTGACCCAGTGCATTTTTGACCTCTTTGTAGGAGGGTCGGACACAACTACGTGTTCTCTGAAATGGGCACTTCTCCTCCTGGCAAGTCATCCAGATATCCAAGGTGAGAGAGGAGAGCCAGGGCTTCTCTTGACCACTAGGGTGGAGCATAGTTCTTTAAAGGTTTCATAAGGAAGCCTACAATAGTAGGGTTGGAAGGGACCCTAAGGGTCTTCTAATACAACCCCCTGCAATGCAGGAATCAACACATTCCCCCCTCCAGTTTGATTCCATTCCACAACCTGTTTTGTTTTGCAAATCAGCTAGCAGTTTCTTTATGCAGCAAATGTACAAGAATGCCCCTGCTGTGAGATAAGTGACTGAGCCTCATTCCTGCCTCTCCGTGCTCCATTACATGAGGGATGCGGGTGGCACTGTGGTCTAAAGCACTGAGCCTCTAAGGATTGCTGATTAGAAGGTTGGCAGTTTGAATCCATAAGACAGGTGAGCTCCTGTTGCTCTGTCCCAGCTTCTGCCAACGTAGCAGTTCGAAAGCATGCCAGTGTAAGTAAACAGGTAGTGCTGCGGTGGGAAGGTAATCAGTATTTCTGTGTGCTCTGGCACTCATCATGGTGTCCAGTTGTGCCAGAAATGGTTTAGTCATGCTGGCCACATGACCCGGAATGCTGTCTGTGGATAAACACCAGCTCCCTAGGCCTGAAAGCGAGATGAGCGAAGCACCCCATAGTCTACTTTGATTGGACTTAACCGTCTAGGGGTCCTTTACCTTTACCTTTATATGAGTGATGCTAGCCAAAGATCAGATGAGGAAATGAGTATTAGTGAAACTAAGTAGGAAATATTGAGGGCTGGGGGTGGAGCCTTTGATCCCAGCCCTTCAGCAAATCCAGCCAGCTCTGGTAACCAGAAACAACTGCGATGAGCTTCACTTTCAGCCTTTTCACACCTGGGATCTAGAGTGGGGAAGAACCATGTACACAGATGAGCTCTTTGGAGGACCAGGTGACCTAAAAATGCAAGAAACTGGGACTCATTCACAGAGATTTATGGAATATGTTCAAGGGAATTAAATGTCCATCTGAAATAAAATGCAGTATTCACAATAAAACTTCTGTTTCCATCATTCTCTTCAGATAAAATGCACAAGGAAATAGAAGATGTCATAGGTTCTGCTCACTCAATCTGCTATCAAGACAAGAAGAAACTGCCCTACACTAATGCTGTGATTCATGAAATACAGCGCTTTAGACCTGTCAGTTTTTTGGGGTTGCCTAGGCAATGTACAAAGGATTTCAAGCTGCGTGGTTTTCTCATTCCCAAGGTATAACAGTGTGATATAGCTGCACTCCTGTAGCCCAAGAGCAAAGTGCAGCAGAAGGTTTCATATTGAGAGATGCAGCCAGCCATACAGGAACTTCCTGTCTAGTCAAAAATATGAAGGGCAAGAGCAGGAGCTCCATCTGCAGACATGTTTCACCATCAGCAAGTGCCATTCCATGGGGCAATTGTGGCAGGGGAGAAGCAGGTAGTGGCCAGAGGTCTCAGCCTGCTTGTGAGCTTTCATTTTAAAAGAGGTGGGGGAAAGTCCCCTTGTGTCCTGCCTGCACAGAAAGTTTTTACAGTGATGAATACAAAGCCACCCACCATAATAATAATAATAATAATAATAATAATAATAATAATAATTATTCAGATCAGTCTCTGCAATGATTAGTCTTGGGATAGTGTGGGACAATAAAAAAAAAGTATTGATGTGAATGCATTCCAAGTCACTTGTTTCTTATTTGCAGGGGACTATTATTGTTCCCGATCTGCGCTCTGTTCTTCTTGATCCAACACGATGGGAGACACCTGCAAAGTTCAACCCAAATCATTTTTTGGACAGGGATGGACAATTCGTGAACAGAGAAGAATATCTCCCATTTGGTGCAGGTAAACACAGAAGAACAAGCTACGTTGTGATCTGTAGATGTGCTTACTGGTCTGCTTCCAGGAAATGACATCAGCAGCAGCACAGGAGGGAGTGGGCACTGCTGGTCAGCAGAATGGGGCAAAGCACTGGAAAGTTAAGGGGATCTCTAGGTTGGTGGCTTGGGACCCACACATGCACGTACACTTATGTGGTCTCCATCTGCACCTCCCTACATTTGCCACCCCTGCCCTGTCCCTGAGAGAGGCAGCACTGCCAGCACCAGGATAGTGCTGTTCCCTGTCACACATCACCACTGCAAGCCACCCAACTTCTCTTCAGGCAGCAATGCTAGTTCCTACCAAGGTGAAGTAAACCTGGCAGGAGAGTTTGCTCCATGGTCTTAACCACTTTCTGCATTGCTGATTTGGGCAGTTGACCAAAATTTCCCTTTCATTTTTTTAAATCAAGTTTTATTAAAAAGCATTATACATAAGACACAATAAAAATCATACTAATTTAAAAAGGGAAAATAGAAAAAAGATTAGGAAAGAAAAAATAGAAAGGAAATAAAGGAAATTACAGAGTCCTCTATCAAAATTAAATCTTCACCCTTATTCTGCACACAGAAAAGTGAGCCCTCCCAGTTCTCACTGGGAGCTAGACCCTCTTACACTGGCTTCTAGCCCTGGAAGATGCTCTCTGCCCTGCCCCTCCCACAGGACCCTTCATCTTCAATCCATCCTCTTCCTGAATGTATCTTCCTTGATATGAGATAGGGAACTTCAAATTACAGAACAAAGCATAAGTATAACAAGAAGAAAGGAAGGTTAGCACTGACCAGGCTAGAAAACTGACAGCAGCCTTGATGTTTTCCCTATCCTAACTATGTCTATTTTGCCAAAGTGTTATGCAGAATGCTTATAGCTACAAAGCAATGAACATGGGAAAGTAAATTATTGCTCACTTACTGCCTTCTTCTTGTCTCCTCCTCAGGGGCTCGCATATGTATGGGAATGCAGGTGGCAAAGATCGAAATATTCATCTTCCTGACCAGCCTGCTGAGGGCATTCAGTTTTCAGCTGCCAGAAGGAGTCAAAGAGCTCAATCAAGAGGCTATAATAGGGATTATAGCACATCCCCATCCATATAAACTCTGTGCTGTTCCCCGTTGCAACACATAAGAAAAGAGGAAAATATTAGGGGCTGCACCCCTGCTTCCTGCACTCGGTGACCCCTTGGCCACTCCTGACACATGAACCCCCTAGCATTTCCCCTTCCCTTCCCATCTCATCCCATGCAACTACTGAGGTCTCTTTTCACCTTCGCAGCCCCATTTCTGAAGCCACTTCTCTCTTATCTTCTGCAGCTCTGCTTTGCATCTGTTTCCCCCTTCACCCCATCTCCTTCTTTTCTTTAGGCCCTTTCATGCCCCTGCTTTCACCTTCTCCCTCTCCCAATGCCTCCTTACTCCCTCCTTTTTGACAACTTCCTTTGCATCCCCATTCTTACTCTTGCTCCCTTTTCTCCTCCCCCTCCCCTTCCTTTTCTCAAATCTCCCTTACACACACATTCCCACACCTCCTCCTCTCTCCCTCTTCAGCAGCCCCTTTCTAACACCCCCCCATGCTATGTTATTGTATCTTTAAGATGAGTAGACTCCTAAGAGCAAGGCTATCAGCTTCTCCAGTTGAAGAATGTTAAGTTTCTTTGATGGATACTGTACATGTGTGCTTGTTAATAAAATATCTCTTCTAAATCACTACATTGAACCCGGAACCCGGAACGCGGACCACACAAGGTATCAGGAGTGAAATAGGTTGTGTGGAGGCACTATGCAATATTTGAAGGCTTCACATCCTTTATCACAGTTAAGGAATGGAAGGGGGAGAAGTTTGAAACAGACGTTCCCCTGACTTCCACTAGCCTTTCCTTCAATGGCAGAAGTTTGAGTAAAATGGAGATGGTGGAAAACTGAGATAACTGTGGCTTTAGGAATAATGGAGGGATGGAGGAACACTGAGCAATTGGTGTGTTTGTATGTGTATGTGTGTTTGTATATATAACATTTTAACAAGGAGAAACAGCAGAGATGGGTACGAAAGCAACCACCCAAAAGCTAAGAAAACAGAAGAATGAAATGGAAAGTGGAATTAAAGAGGGCAAAGAGACTTTGGAAAACAATATGGATGAAGGATTGCCAGAACAGAAGGATGAAATGGTGGAGCTGGAGGCAACAGATGGTGTAATGAAGAAGTCCTTCACAAAAGGTGACTAGAGGACTGAAACAGCCAAATGGCGGTGTTGTGATGTTGGAGGAGTGGAAGGAAGCCACAGATGAAGAGATGAAGAGACATCAATTAGATGTTGGGGGCTCCTACTCCTTTTAACTTTTTTAACTTTTTAATCTTTTAACCCTCTTCTTATCAAAAGTTTGGCAACCTGGGGTTTTATATCAGACAACTTGTGAAGTTGGCACTGTAAATTAGATCTAACGAAGTTGAACAGCTTAACAGCCGCTGCCCAGCCTATTTCAAGGACTCATAACTCTAAACAATTTAATTAATCTTCTGAACTTTTTCCAAACTGCCTCTGACTCAGGCTTTGACTCGGTGTTTTAAATGAACTAAGGGAGGTGAAACTGTGTTGCAGGAGTGTTCCGCTTGTGCTTGCCTCTGCCCTCTTGGCTTGTGGGCCCAACTGTGCTGTGTGCCTGCTCTGTCTTCCCAGTTGTGGGTCCGGCTGTCCTGCATGCCAGCGGTGCTCCTGGACTGAGACAGACTGGTTGAGTGCTCGGCATGGAGCCTGGGTCAAGATATATTACTCTGCAGATGACTCAATTGAAAGGCACGTAGGGAAGCCAGAGAGGGGGGTTCCACCCTCAAGACACCAGAGACTCTTAAGCCACAGGGCTGGCAGCTGGTTGCAGCAGAGGAGAGGTATCATCCTGTGGCCCTGAGAACACCAGCTGTGGGGGAAACCAGAGGACTCCTGATGCCAAGAGGAACACTTTCTCTGCCACTACAAGTGCTAGCGCAACAGCAAGAGGAGGGCCCCCTGAGACCATCGGGCATGGCATTGACATCAAACAGGGCATTTACTGAGCCTGCCCCACCTTCCTTTGCCCATCCCCTGAGGTCGCCTGGTTGTTCAGGTTGGCAGATTCAGAGATCATTCAGAGATCATTCGAGTAGACTTGAGCTGGCGCGTGATGCGACAAGAACTTCGTCTGCTACAAGAACCTCTTTTCTTTTCTTTTCTTTTCTTTTCTTTTCTTTTCTTTTCTTTTCTTTTCTTTTCTTTTCTTTTCTTTTCTTTTCTTTCCTTTCCCCCCTCCCCCCTTCCTTTGCCATTTGTTTTAGTTTTTTATAGTTCATTGATCCATGGTAATATTTAAGTTTTGCTTGCTTACTGTTAGATGTTTAATTTTTGTTCTCCTGCTGTTTAGGTGTTTTTTCTTCCCTTAATGTACGTGATATGGTAGTTCTGTTTAGCTGTGGAATGTTTTGGGGTTTATTTTTTAATTTAATTAATTGGTTTGTTTAATATTATAATAGTAGACTGACAAAGAATATAATAGTTTCATACAATCAGAGAGGTAGCTGATGTTTAGCTGGTTTGTTCTACTCGACTAATTAGAGTTATCGAGTTGTTGATACTATAAACAGAATAACTAGGCTGGGAAAGAATAACATCAATTGCCATCTATTGGAGGCTAGTATGAGGCTTGGGATTGCTACCGTGGGAGGGAGGTATGGCGGTGGGGGCAGATGTTATAGGCGAAGGGGATCGAGATACGGATATGCTCGTAAACCTTTCAATCTGCGCCCCATCCCGAGGGACGAGGGTAGGGTGAGCAAGGATTACTCACCTCCATCACTGGTGCTGTGCAATGCCAGGTCTATAGGCAACAAGACCGCCACCCTGCGAGACTTCTTTACCTCACAGGGGGTCGACCTGGCTTGTGTATCGGAGACCTGGGTGCACGAAGGGGAAACAGTTACCTTACGAGAGATGGCGCCCCCGGGTTTCTCCGTCCTCCACCAGTCGCGGACTGTGGGCCGGGGGGGGCATTATTAATCCGGGAAGATTGTCCTTTCAGGGCTCTACCATCGCCATCGGTCCCCGGCATTGAATGTGTTGGCTTAGTGTGGGGTTCCGAGGAGAGCTTGGCTGTCTGGCTGGTGTACCAGCCACATAGCGCACCAGTAGCCAACCTGTCAGGCCTACTGGAGGCAGTGGCCGGCTGGGCCATGGAGTTCCCTAATCTATTGGTTTTGGGGGACTTCAACATCCATGCTGATTTCACTCCCTCCTCATAGGCTCTGGACCTGGTGTCTTCCATGGCGACACTAGGGCTCTCCCAGTTTGTTTTGGGCCCCACACATCAAGCAGGCCACACGCCAGATTTGATCTTTGGCGTAGGTATAGATGTGATCATGGCTCCTTTGATGAAGGTGCCATGGTCTGATCACTACGCTCTGAAAGCCAGGATTGACTTTCCACCCCCACCCTGCTTAGGTGGCAAGCCGATTTGGGCTCGCCCGCAGAGGCTGATGGACCCTGATAGATTCCGCCAAGCCTTGTGGGACCTTGCTCCCCCTGGTGACTCATTGACTGAGCTTGTTGAGGGCTGGAATATCCAGCTCCTGCCAGCCATCAATGAGCTCGCACCTAAGCGCCCTCTGTGACCCCGCAGAAACCGGGCTCCCTGGTTTACCGAGGAGGTCCGGAAAATGAAGCGGGACCTCAGACGGCTAGAGTGAGTATGGCGGGGTGCCCGTGCCGGAGCCTCACGAACATCTTATAGGGCTTTTATGAAAACCTACGAGATGGTGGTGAAGGCTGCTAAGAAGTCTTACTTCTCGGCCTCCATTGCAGCTCTCGCCTGGCACAATTATTTAGTATAATTAGGTCTTTAACATCCCTCGAGGGACAGCCAAATTTAAATAACAATTTGACACACAGCTGTGAGGCATTTGCTAGCTTTTTTGCGGAGAAGGTCCTGTTGCTCCGCCGTGACCCCCCTGCCAATTTGGATACAATAATGGAACTGGAGCCTCCTTGACTGTCCTTGGGTCCAGTATTGGACCACTTTGACCGGATATCCCCATCTGATATGGACAGACTCCTCCGAGCTGGAAAGCCCACCACCTGTCCTCTTGACCCATGCCCATCTGGCAGATTAGAGTGTGTCCAGACGAGGTGCGGGCCCCCCTGGGGGATATCATCAGTTTGTCCCTTGGCACCGGGACATTCCCAAGGGAACTGAAGGAGGCAGTGGTGCGCCCGCTCTTAAAGAAAACATCGTTAGATCCTTTAGATCTATCCAATTACCGCCCGGTTTCAAATCTTCCGTTCCTGGGTAAGGTGATTGAGAGAGCGGTTGCTGAACAGCTTGATGAAAAATCAGCTCTGGATCCATTCCAATCCGGCTTCCGTGCTCATCATGGGACCGAGGCAGCTCTGGTCGCCCTAACAGATGATCTCCGCAGAAAAACTTACTGACAGTAAGAGCTTTTTGACAGTGGAATGGTCTCCCTTGGGAGATTGTGGACTCTCCTCCTTAGAGGTATTTAAGCAGAAGTTGGATGGCCATGTGTCGTGGATGTCTTTAGCTGAGATTCCAGCATTGGAGGGAGTTGGACTAGATGGCCCTCAGGGTCCCTGGGCTGAATGAAACTTGCTGCTTGCAGTTTGCAAAGCACATTTGCAAAGCAACTTCCTCCTGAACACGTTAGCATGTACAGAAAGCTGGCAAGACATTGTCATGTCTCCTGTTTCACAATTTTGGGGCTGGAAAAAAAATATAAAGGTGTAAAACAGTTTGCTTTTCTGAAACTCTCTGCAACAACACTGTCTCCTTCACTTGAGGTCTTCTGTGGACAGCAAGCTTAATATGAGTCAGCAGTGTGATGCAATTACAAAAAAGCTAATGCTGTTCTAGGCTGCATCTGCAGATATATAGTGTCCAGATTAAGGGAAGTAATAGTTTTCTCCGGGGACTAGGCTACATTTGTAAAGATAAAGCTCTTTCTATGCATTATAACACTATGACACCAGATGGCGCAGTGGAGTCCCATTTTTCACCAAAGGAACTTCCCTGTATGAAGTTTACAATGCATTTAAGTGGGGAAGGATATCAGTAATAAAAATGAATGTGAAGTTACTTTCCAAATTGTAT